AAGTTTTGTGGGAAGAGTTTTCCGTATTTAAGTTACCTCAAGAGGCATCTTCGTATTCATACAGGGGAGAAACCATACAGCTGTGTGCAATGTGGGAAAAGGTTCTCTGATGTAAGCAACAAAAGAAAACACGAGAGAATACATAAAGTAAACCGACCCTTTCACTGCTCTCAGTGTGGGAAACATTTCACTGGGCGCTGTCACCTTAAACGACACCAGAAAACTCATGCTGGTGAGGTTTAATGTGTCTGGACGTTTCTAGCATTTATCTCAGCTGTGTTTCTTTAAGGGAACAGGCCTCTGCATGTAAAGTAGCCATAGATTTCTACCATTTAGCCTCAGAGTGGATTAGTTTGTGTTTGTCATTGGTTTGATTTCAATTGTTTTGCGTAATTTACTTTTTATGGTTCCCCACAAGGCTGAAGTTGGGTCCTCATTCGCAGGATCTGAAAAGAATGTTTTCAGTGTTAAATTTAACTAAGATAATGGTAGGTCAGATTATTTTGATACCAACGTTAGACACGTGGCCACTGGCTGTCAAATTTAGCTGAATTAGTTAAACTTGGAATTCATTAAACTTGGAATCTGAGTTGTATGAGTTTGATTTCTCAGATATTGTTGAATATATTTTGTGTATTTTTGAATTCAATGCACTCTTTGGTACTCTTCCATTAAGACCTACTGTACAAATAATGTATTTTCTGCCCAGGTTAAAGGCTTCCTATTCACACCTTCCCCACGGGAGATAGTGCTCACAGCGGCGCATGCTGTGCTGTTCATAAAATCATTTTGAAAAATATGTATGAATGAAATGTTTAAAATGTGGCACTTATGTCATATCTGAATGTAACAAATATCCCTGTAATAAACGGTGAAATTACCCAGGCTTGATGTGATTTTTCTTTTGTAACCGTAAAATGGTGGCAGGGCATGGTGAGCTGGTGCACGCGTTGATTTGCTGATGGGAGTTTTACTTATACAAATATGTCCTGATGGCAGAATGAAAAATAATTGGTTCAGGGAGATAACCAATCAGATTGTAGAGGAGGTGGGCCCAAGCAGCTAGAGGAAGCGGGGCCACCGAATCAAATGTCTTGGTTCAGCCTCCTCTAGTTGCTTACTAAGCCCTGCCTATATTGCCTAGTAATCACACTAGTTGTTTATTGGCAAAATGTGTTTTACTTTGAATATTTTTTATTAATGTAGCATTAACAAATAACACTGGATTTACAACTAATTTCCTGCAATATCTTTTTGCGACACATGGCAACAATCTAACAGCTAAGTAGAACACAATATTGAAGCACAATGTGGTACATTTTAACTTTCGAAATCCACATAAATTTTGATGTTTTACAGAAACATTGGTTTCCTTTATTCACACGACAATCCTTGTATTTCTTAATTATGTTAAAAAAAAACAAGCATAACGTTGCAAAAATTTTCGAGGAGAACATTAAGCTTGCTTTTCTCTCGATGTTTCACAAAAACGTGTAAGTTTTTGAAAACCTGAAATATCTTCACCACTGTGCCTCTTTCACATGGCATCATATTCTCAGTCTAAGACTTGATGATGTAGCTTATGGAACCATTCATCGTCTGTCCTTTTTGTTCAGTACTCTTCAGCGAGTCGCTACTGGCTACTTTTCCTTTTTGTGTTTTGTTCTTGCCCATTAGACGTCAGACAGCTGGTTCCTCCTCTACCGTCCCCTCCTCTCCACCTCCCTCCTCCCCTTTGGCCTGGGCTTCCATCGCCGCCTCCCCCAAACCCTTTTCCTCTCCCCCCTCCCCTTCGCTTCTCCCCTTCGCCTCCTCTGCAGCCTCCCCACCTCCCTTATCACCTCCCGCCTCGCTCCTCTCTTCCGCCCCAGCCTCAGGTTCATTCTTGCTTTCCCCCTGGTTGTCTTCGCTCGCTGCCTTCTTTTCTTTCCTTTCCTTCTCGACCTTGGACAGGTGCTGACAGAGGGACTGCACGTACGTGAAGACGCACAGAGGGTCAGGCTTGTGCCCCATTAGTATCATATCCTCCACCTCCAGTAGGGGGCAGCAGTCAGCCTTTGACCTAAGAAAAGGAAAAGAATGCAGAATATAGGCATAATAACTGGAGCACATAAAGAAGATAAAGTGAATCGGGCTCCTTATGACACCTGAAGCGTGATCATGTTATGGCGGGAAAATGTTCTGTATAATGACACCATGAGATTAAAATGTAGCACTGGTCTTCCCCTGCCTGACCAGAGACTTTGAACACACTTCAATAAGTAACCCTTGTCATATGACCCGCCGGCTAGCTTAAGTGTGCTAGGAATAACTCAGAGTCTTGTGAAACATGTCTTACTAAAAGTACACAGATTAATTAGTAGATAGATAACCACATTCCATCCAACATTGCACTACTGCATGAACGTTTCCAGGTTCAGCGTAAGACACTTCCTTCGTTTCTGCTCTTGTTTGTGTGGGAAAAGGCTTCAAATTGTGTACATTAACATATGTACACCACTACAAAGGTAAGAAAATGAGCCAGTCTAACATAGCTACTAACAGCGTTGTGGCTGCCTAACAATCGGAGAAACAAGTCAATGATGCATGAAAAGAAAACCCTTCTTGGGATTGGTATATAGTATCAAATAGAGTCAGGGGAGGTCAATGGTGCAAGCCTTGTGTTACGAATCGAGATAAAAGAGTGAGCTGCCAAACTAATTAACAATAGAGAGGAGTTTAATATTCACCTTGTTACAGTTAAGCTTGAACTTCAGAAGTTCTTGATTTTCTACTAACAAAATTAACAATAGTGGGCTCTGCTGGGAAACTTACATTCTAGACTGAAATTTAGTTCATCATACAAAATTAGGAATAACTCATGGGGAAACACAAGTTTGCCCATTTCTTAGGTTAAGCAGTTTATATGTTACCCCACAGACTAAAACTGACACGCCTTATTTGTACGAGCCACTGATTTCTAAGCTTAGATTAAATTGGGACGCAAAAGAAACTTAAACTGGCATTTTATTGGATTAATGTTATGTGGACACCTGAAATTTCTAAATTCACCTGGTACTAGGCAATTGATTCTGATTCTGAAGACGCTGTACAAAAAAGGAACACAAATATTTTTTCTGCTTCATTTGGGAAATTCCATTTTGAATACGTATCTTCCAGCCACTGTTTCTAAAAAAAAAATCAGATGCTACATTAATACTATGTACTTTATACCACCAGTGCTTTAGTGGATAGACCAGAAATGCAGTAATAGTGATATTTTTAAACGGAAACATGTCACTGCAATGAGTGTGAGTGGTTCATTGTCCCTGGTTTCCCCTAATGATTGGGGAGGTTCCAGTTTTTCCCCTGACCTTGTACTGGATAAGCAGCTGGAATATGATTGGATAAAAGATCACGCTGAACACTGTCAGTCTCAGTTCCTGTCTTTTCCTGTTCTATCCATTGTTTCCCTGTTCATTGTTTGGCCAGCAGGTGTCACTAGTCATCCTGTTCGTTTCTGTGTTTAGTGCCTGTCACAGTGCCTAGTGTGTTCACTTGCTCCCAGGCCCACTGTCTGGCTGAATGGGTTGGGTGTGGTGCTGCAAGCCCTGCTCCCTAACTATCATGGGTTCAAGGCTGGCTGGGGGTCCACCTCAATTATTGCTTGACTTTTTGTGTTTTCTGCCCGAGAACTCTGTGTAGTAAGTTCATTGTTTTCTGGTGTATTCAGTCTTTCGGCATTGGGTCTTGCTTGTATGCATTTATTCTTAGTTATCGCTGCTTATTTCCCCCCCTGTATTTCTCATGTTAGTCTTGGTAATATTTAGTCTTTTGTTTCTGGTTCAGTTCAGTTTTACAATAAAATCCTCTTTGTCCATAAGCCACATTGTTGATTGCCCTTCTATATAAGAAAAGGCACAAAGGTAAATCTCACAAAATGTAGCAAATGAAAAATTCACACATATCTCTCATGATCATCTTGATAGAAAATCCTCTCTGTTCTTACTCGTGTATTAACTGCATACAGCTGTCATATATAACCCTTCCCATACAGGTGTGTAGTAATGTTGTAGGTGCTTAATCTGCTGTCCATGTACGTACTCTGCTGTGCTGAAGGCCAGGGTAAAGTTCTTTTCTCTCTCATCCGCTTGAAGAGAGGAGAAATCGAAGGCGTCGGGGAAGAAGCGATGGACCAGGGCGCAGAAGGCGAGGCCATCTGCCCAAGACGAGGAGAAGTTCTCGATGGACACGCTCTGTGGAAAGGAACGAGCCCACAATGCAGGTTGAGTTTCAGGGGAGAATCTACTGCTGTGCCCATGAGTGAGGTAGTTAATCCCAATTTTCTAGGCTAAATTATCCAGTTGTGTAACACTGGTTAGGCTATTAATAAATGTGCTTGTACTTCTTAAATGTCACAAAATGCTATAATACTGGAAAATAGTTTGACAGTCCTATTCTTCATTAAAGCATCTGCTAAAGGCTCTTGGGGAGTTAGCACTTTAGCCACTGATGACATTTATTACAACAGTAAGAATCGACATTGTTCTGTTTTGACCAATCCCATGGCTTTAAGTCCTCACCTCATAATTACGGGTCTTGTTCTGACACCATTGGAGCACCTTCTGCTTGATGGAGCCTCCCATGCCTCCCCCAGAACCTATAGATGACTTCTGCACCTTGAAATTGCGAGTGACCGGTTTCCTGGAAGATGATTGGTTAAGACGTACATCAACCCGACGGTCAGAGAAAAGACTCTGGGGGTACTTGAAATGCACCATGCTGAAGCGTAGAGGCCTCAATTAACTTTGTCTAATAATGTCAACCCCCCCGGGCTTCTGACCATGTTAATGTGCCTCTGCTGACATTAATGACTAAACAAAAGCTATGCAGAGAGAATGACTCATGCATTCCACTATAGACTTATTGGATGCTGTTACCTGTAATCACTACACTGTGAAGTACAGTTCACATGGCAGGGGGTGTGGGATGTAACTGAAAACACGTTACAGGACACTGTCCAGTTAGAAGGAGTCACAGCAATAGCGGTCAATTTGAAGAAGATCAATTTAGTACATTCCAAAGTGTTTGCTTGTGATTGATGAGTTTTGTTTGGAGAAGCAAATTAACTCATTTGAGGTCTAAATGTAACAAGTCAGCAGGAAGTAAATGTGTGGGGGGCTGAGGTCAGAGAGGAGGAGGATTCGGAGGCAACAGCGGCAGGCAGTGGGATGCGACCACTTACTCTCCGGCGTCCTTCTGGAACTTGGCCATTATGTCCTTCTTTGTAGAAGCTCGCAATGAGTGCGCTGAGCTGCGGGGACGGGACAGGGCGGGGGGGGCGGCTGGCGTGGTGGTCGGCTTCCTTTTGGTTTTTGCTTTTCCCTTCGCATCATCCTTCGCTTTCTCGGGTCCTGCCTCCTCCTCTCGTTCCACGGGATTCTCTGCCTTCGTTTCGCCTTTCGCTTGTTTGTCACTTTGTTTCTCCTCCTTTCTCTGAACATCCTTCTCCTTATCTTCTAAGCTTTGCTTTCCTGACTCTGTGTTTCTCTCGCCGTCTGTTGGTGTTTCTCCCCTCTCTTTGTCTTCCCCTTTCTCCGTCACTCCCTCCTCTATCTCCGCTGGTTGCGTGTCATTTTGCTCCTGAAGTTTAGCACTCTCCAGCCCCTCCCCTCTCGGACTTCCTTCTTCTTTCTCATAGGCTGCTTCTGATGGCCCTGCCCCTGCATTCTCTCCATTGGCTCCTCCCACTGGGTCCCCTCTTTCTTCCTCTGTTGTCCCCCGTTCATTTTCATTCTTGTCTTGGGCTGATGCTCTGTCGTACTCTGTCTCTTGTAAAGAAAAAAATAGGAAGGATTCTTAGTCTATGTATCATTTTAATGAGGATATTACCACGTTGATTCTCATTATCATGTCAGTAATTAAACTATATTGCCTGTAGTCATATGAGTGCAGCAGAGTGGCTCAGTTGGTATCGTTGTCCCTCTCGATTCCCGACTTGGGAGTCTGAAGCCCGTTTTACTCCGTGTTGCATTGTCCTCCATTCCAAAATTCCATTAGATGAACTATCTCTAAACTGGGTACTGTCTGTGAAATCGTGTGTGTGTGTTCTGCAATAGACTGGCATGCCATCCAGGGCTATTCCTCTTCTTTGTGCCCTGTGCTGCCTTGGGCAGGCTCCAGCCCCCCTGCCCCCTGGGGGGGGGGGGCAATAAATGGCTCAGCAGGCTAAGTCTCTGTGCCTGCGATCGGAAGTTCACCGCTTTGAGCCCCCACCCTTGGCAGAATAGTCACATGTCCAAGGCCTTAAACCACCAGCTGCGGGGGTGTTACACATTGGCTGACCCTGTGCTGTGACCCCCCCAGCTCTGGGGTAGGCAAAGAGAAGCATTCCAATGTACGTGTGCAAATGGCAAATAAAGGATTTATGATTGGTTGGAAAATGGAGAGATGAATGCGATCGTACAGAGAGACCCTGAACCCACTGAGCCACTGCTGCGACAAGACACTAGTGTTACCCTATCATTCACAAACGTAAGAAATGCATGTTGTATCAGTACAGAATAACAAGCACAGGCTGTATCGGTAACCGAATGCCCGTAGGGGATCCTTTCAATCCCAGATTAAGTGTGAGTTTCACTGCACTGATATCTCAGCAGGAATGAGAAGTAAAACACATCGGGGCCCACAGAACATTCGCTTTAAAAACAGATATTATGTTGTACTGTCATCAGCATTTGCACTTTACTGCCTTTCTGTGCAGAGCCCTTCTATGTTATTTAGTTGCTTTTTTGTTTTACATTTAAGAAGGTAAGAAATAAGAAATGATAACAAACGGCAACTGAATATGTCTCAATCCTCGACCGTTCTCACACCTTGTCTTTGTCTTCCTCCTTCTCAGCAGCTGCTGGTTTGGTGTCAGGTTCCTCTCTTTGAGGTGAGATGTCCCCCATCTCTGGCTTTCCTCCTCTTGGCAGTTTCTTCTTCTGCTGGAACAGGGGGCCAAATAAAATTGAACTCGTCCCGTTATCTAACCAGACACCCCCAGTCCACTTCTGCCCGAAAAGTTTCAATCATTGCATCAAAATACAAAGGATTTTATCCATATACTTCAAAGCCCGGTTAGCACTCACTGTGCACTTCTGACAGTGTGTTCACTCTTTTCTGCACACTTCCTGTACTCTCTGTCCTTGAGCTGGGACGCTATCCTGATGTCCCTTTTTGATACAATACATCAAACTCCCCATGGGGGCGTCTTCCAGCTCTTATTCGCTGTCTCTCTGGCCTCTTTATCGGCACTTTATTTGACCTTTATGTGACACGGGGCTCCCAAATTAGAAAGGGTGACACAGACGCAGCCAAACCCCCGACAGCTGCTTTGGCTGGAAACTATATGGCACCGCCGTCAATACGCACATGGATTTACCCACCAGCAGCACATGAACCCGTATGCTCTGATACACGCAGCCAGCACACGTGTGTCGGCTCTAAAATTGTCCTGAGGGTTTGCTGGATGTTAAAAGCTTTCCTCGAACCTTTGAGCTCGAAATGCCTCAACCGCCTGCCGACTTTCCCCTGTCACTCCGTTCTCCCGAGGACCTTAGTGGTAAAAGTCACCATTTGCCATTTGCCAAAAAAAACACTGAATGATGTTTAAAGTGTTTTCCTTCTGGTTCTTTGCTCTTTACGAGGTCAAGGAGATCAAGACACTGTCATTTCAAACACCCTGTCATTTTTTAAGTTGCTGACATATCGAAGGAAGCTGCTTTATATGCTTTTTTCTTTTTTTGCTTGACCAAATTTTGAGCAAATTTTTAGACGTTGCATGTGGAAATCTCCACTTGCGGCAACTCAATGCAAATGACCACACACATGCTATCCTGCTTATAAATGGAATTGAATTCACTAATGTAAATCTCGACGGAGGTGCTGCTTGTTGCTCCCAGACTACGTGACATATAGAGGAAAATTCACACACACCGGACACAAAAACACAGGCTGCTGATTTAGGAGGAAAAAGACCAGACTTCTCACCTGTTTTATTTGCAGTGTTTGTCCTTCCTTCTCTCTCTCCTGGCTTGCTGATAATATCTCGCAGTGTCCAGTCTTTGTCCAAGGTTTTGTGTAAACACCTCACTGGCTTGCAATATGGTGTAAGTGAACCCTAGTATCCAGGATGTCAGTCCCTCTAAAGTGAAGAAATCTCCTTCTCTTGTAGAGTGGTGTCAACGTCCAACAATGTCCACCCAGTGGTCGTACCTAAATTTATATCCTGTCAATCCACCATCTCCTTGTCCTTTAAACTTTGCATCTTTTCATTCAACACAAAACAGATGTCCTTAAAAATAAACCGCTATCTTCCCCCCCCCCCCTTCCCTCTGTCTTTATCACCCCCCCCTTCCCCCATCTCTCTATGCTTCTGTGGCTAAAAATATGACCATGCTTTCTTTACTGTTCCCCTTTAGTGTATTTCTGTAAATTCCTTCGGGAATTTTTCCACTGTATAGACCAAGGGACTGAAAAATCGGTCTCATGAATATTGGTAACACTGAAAAAAGACTTAAAGTAAATTTATCTACATCCACAATAAAGATTACAGATAAACAACCACATCCATGATATCATTCATCACCCAGCCACTTATCCAGTCCTGGGGGAAGCTGGAGTACTGCATCTCCCAAGGGGAATATGGCAGAAGGCGTGGGACATCACTCAGTCCAATACAAATAGGTGCTCTGATCATATTTTTTAATGTTATGTGCTCATGTTGCATGTGTTTCCTGTTGCTTTTCACGATTTCTCCCACAGTGCGAAAATATACAATTAGGTCAATCAGTATCTCTGAAATACATCATTGTGTGTGTATGTTCTGCATCAGACTTGCATCCTGTCCAGGGTATATCCCTGCCTGGTGCCCTGTGAAGTACTCTGTCCAGGATAGATGATTCAAAAATGGATGGATGGCACCTGATTTTATTCAGACCAAACATGCTGAATGATTTATAGGTTTAAGTGAAATACAACCAGTCAGACAGCACGTGCTATTCGGTGCCTTTTTCCAAATCTTGAAACCAAAGAGTCAAAGCAGTCACTATTAAACGTCAGCTGCAGCTGCAACTGTACAATTGTATAGCTGTACAACCGACCAAGTAAATAATGTAAAAGAACCAAATAAACAGTAGAGGGCGCCACATTCATGACAATCAACGGAGATACATTTGCGCAAGAGTAGTACTCGTAAGATATGAGAACTACTGACATTTCCTTTGACGGTTCCTTTAATAAAAACTGTCCAATTGTTTTTGATAAGTAATTACCATTTGGTTACGTGTAATTCTTCCTTATTTTCTCCTAGAGTACTTTCTCAAGCAATCTCAAGATTTTGAACATTGCCTGTAAATTATATATGAAGTCTTTCAAATCCACACATTAGGGCATACACTATTTCTTTTAAGCCACTGTGGACCAATTTGGGCACAGTGTTTCTCTATTGAAAAATACTTTAATTTCAAGTTTTTAATATTAAAAAATCAAAAAATGTTTTTTCTTGTGTAATTTAGTCGTATTGTGTTTCCCTCTGACCTAATAAGCTTTCCAGTCCCCGCTGCGGAGAAGCAGCACCACAGCCGGATGATACCAGCACCGGACCTGACTGCGGACTCAGTGATGAGTGACGCACTGCCTCTGATCTGTGTCACACATAACACTTGGGATTTAGGCGAGAAAGTTCCGTTTTGGTCTCACCTGTCAAGAAAACCCTTTAAGGGGAAGCATCCCAGTTTATCCCATAGCAGCCTCCCAGTTTGGAGAGAGTCCGATTTGAGCGGAATGAATGTGGAGCCGGAAAACTGACTTTGGGTGGGGAACTCAAGCACAGCACAGTAATGTGTACTTGTAATAAAATTAACTTCATAAGGCCAAGACTATGACCAGTGCTACATGGTAGTTAGGGTTGCTTCTTTTAATCTGAAGATATGTGGATTGCTAACCCGCACCCCACCCCAACGCACCCTTGACCACGCCCCCATGAATGTATGTAACATCTATGTCTTAATATTTCATTAACCTGAAGCATGTTGCTCATTATTATTCTTGAAAGCATAGTCTTCATAGTTGATTGAGCCTCTACTTAATATTCCGTCCAGTAAAATTCCGCCCCAGAGACAGCATCTCCTCTACCGCATGTGAGTACAGCTTTCCAGCCTTAGTAAAAGTAACCAAGCAAATGGTACACTGACTATTAACAGGGGCTTCACGGAACACGAGCACGCGGGAGTCTTTTTTACCCAAAATTCTGAAAATTAATAGAGTTTGACTTGGAATTACAATAACGGAATAGCGAGTATTTGTATATACCAACAGCGGGTGAGGGATATAATAAAGTAATGAGTAAGTTGATGTTACGAATCGGTTATAATTAAAATTAATAGGTGCCTAATTCGTGCGTATAATGCTGAATATTTTCTGGTTTTATTACGGTGTACGACACCCGTGTGTCGTTTTTTTCTTGGGCATTTACTTTCATATATACATAAATCATATTAGTATAGATAATATGAAAAGTTACGATTGGTTATGTAGGTTTTATGTATGCCGCATTTTAAGCCTCAGTATTTGGTAGCCGTACATAATTGTGTGTATTTTAGATTAATTTGTCTTAATTTAAGACTAAAGTCAGTTTGATTATGACATGTTAGGCTGAACTAGGGACAGATTATATATGTTGATATATTATTTGGTTTTGGTTCGAGTCACACACCTCCTGTCTGTGAGGAGTTTGCACTTTACTGCCGAACTTCCGAAGACGTGTAGTTTATGTGGACTGCTGTCTTGCGTGTGTCCGTGTCCCGTGATGAAATGTCATCTTACCCGGGGGGCTCTCTGTCAGACTCTAGGTTCGTGGGTTTGATGAGTGATTAATCGCTTCTGAACAGATGGGCGTGCTCACTCTTCAAAACACTATTTTTCTTTTATCCCTTTATGGTCTTTTCCTGAGGTAGCTGTAATAGGTTAGTGCTCCAGCTAAAAGTCTTGAACCAGATCTCCTACAGGCTAGTTGTTGTGGCTGGATGGACATTAGATCCTTCCTACCCTATCCCACACATGGCCCCAAGGTGTGGTGTTGTTTACTTGTGTCAGCAAAATATTTAGTTAATGGCCATTCCTGATGCTCAAAGACTCAACACCCGCAAAAAGCTGTTTTGCACCTGATAAATGGGGAAGTATGTTTTGCGTGTTTGCATCACAGAGAAGAGGAAGGAGAGACCATCGTATGATTAACTAAATATACACATCCAGGAATGTTTGCTGACTTGCAGTATTTTTTTGTACTCAACCACCAAATCTATTAGAATCCTTACTACTGCTACTAAAAAATAAGTTTTTGTTGAAGAATATGATTCATGTTTTTGTCTATCTATGCTAGTTCGTATGCGTTTCTATATCACAACATGGAAGTTTAGGCTATACACAGTCAGAGAGCGTGAAGGAGAGTGAAAGGCTTTTTCTAGGTCTAAGTGTGTTCATCTTGTGATGTTAAGCATGAGTGTTGTGACTAAGATAGTTATCAGTGAAGGTTACATCACGTACTCTCCTGCTGACCACATGCTGTTTGACAGCTCACTCTGACGGGGGTAACAGTGTCTGTGTTGGGATCACCACGGCCATAACGATTGCAAACTCAGTCACAAAAACCATTGGACTGATAAAGTGCTGTTTTGAATTTAGTGTAATTCATTTTGTGTTGTGTCTCCATTCTATATTGAGTTGTTGGTAACACTTTACTTTATTTTTTTGCTCAGATCAGACTTGCCTGTCTTCAGATTCACAATTACACGCGACCTGTATCTAACTGTAATGTGAACGCATCTGTCCTCCGAAATGGCACCGATGTTCACGCTGATGTGCTTTTGCACGAGTCATCTGCGGCACCAACAGCAACAAACGCGCTGACTGATGACGACAGCGCCCAGCGCATGCGTATAGGCGGGATAAACACTTGCATTCCGATCTGACTGTTCTCATTCATGTTGCATGGCCATGAATCGGATACGTATCTGATCTAGGACCATATATGAATGTCACTCAGATTTGTAAAGATCGGATTTCTGTGTCCACAAAGCTCTGAAAACTTCAGTTCTGAGTCACATCAAGTCACGTCAATTAAAGTGTTACTGAGTTGTTTTTAGGGCCTGGAGTTGAATTTGACTTTATTAATTTAAGCTGACAAAGATTACAAAAGAACTTATTACCAGGCTACCATTAGGAATGTGGGTTGTAAAGACTGATACCTGGTCTGCCTGTCACACCCTCAAACGTCATTCTGCAAATATGAGCCTCTCCAAAAGGAAAACAACTGAGTCAGAATGTCTTTTCTTAATGGATGTCAAAAATGGATTTTTCTATTATGGCTTTTATGGGACTTGAAAATAATTGTAAAAATGGCCGCTGCTGACGTGGCATACACAAGAACAATATATTTAAATACATTTCTGAGACATATCCAGATATTTTAGACATGTACTTAAATATTAAAAATCCATCACAACAGGGCACAATGGACGGTCCACAGTGCGGCCTTGTATGGTAAAGGGGACTTTATAATAAACGGCACTCGGAAGACATGAAACAAAAGGGACCATGAGGGATCTAATCGAAGGCAGGTAAATGATACTGGAGCAAACAAAGATTTAAACCAAACTCAAGGAAACAGAGTGACCCCAGACAAGATCAGGTAAAGAAAGCACAGCAGATAATAAACAGAAAACAAATGCGATGACCAACAAAAGCAAAAGGCAGTTATATATAAATATACATGGGCTAAACAAGGGACAGGTGTGAACCATCACAATAAACCAAAAACTAAAGAATAGAGGCAACAAGGAACAGGTGCAGGTCATTCACAATCAGTAACAATTTAAACGCTAGAAATGGTTTGGCCAGTGACACTGACTGATCAAATAGGGAAACGACGAACAGGACAGGGATTTAACTGATCCTGACACTACATATGAGTATATTGTACATGATTATATGTTTGAAATGTATTTGTATATACGTAAATGTATTCATTACATTTAACACATTTAACAGTTTTAGTTACTATAATATTTACATTGCGTACTGATGTATTTGAATTGACTAATAATTGTTGCTGTTACCTTATTCATTTAATTGTTGCTCATTTATTCACATACTTCAGAAGGCAGGTAAAATTCAATTCAAAATCAACGCTTATTTAACTTCATAAAAACTTGTGAATTTGTTAACTTTTGGTTAAATTTTCCTTTTACTGCTGTAGATTCCTTTAATTTTTGTCCCCACTTCGTCTAAGTTCTGATGGCTGGCACCTGACCACACCCAGGGCACCTGACCACACCCAGGGCACCTGACTACACCCAGGGCACCTGACCACACCCAGGGCACCTGGTGTAATTTGTGGAAATCGCCTCTTAGTTGCTCATGCAAATGAAAAGGAAAATTCATGTCATAGTTAGACCCGTTCACAATATAACCGGGATACTCACACTATGCAGAGTAAGGGGCCACAAGGACCAAGACTGAAGGACACTGACCAGGTTTGTTTTGTGTTTGTTTGTTCGGGGGAGGTCGTGCATTTAAAGACTGTGGGCTGGCAGAAATGGGACATATAGGACCCTGTTGCTCAAAACCATGATACCGCACAAAAGCCTGGACAATGGCAGCATCTGGTCACCCGACATGTTTCAGCTGCATGTTTGCCGTCTAAAGCTCTACTTATAGTCCAAGATAAAATTGATTTTAAGAGCAGAAACGTCTTAATTTAATAAGTTGTTGTCAAATAGAATTGCAGATGTTTCCTTTACAAAAACAAGATGTGGAGTTTCAAAACCCTTTTACCAAGATGGGTGTGGGGGGGGCTCACTGGACCAGTTTGGTTGCATAGAAGCAAATTAAATAAGCCAAGTGTGACTTTTGTCCAATGTAAATAACAGCAAAGGCTTATTTTGGTGTCCAGGGGGCTGTTCCACAAAGCAGGATTTCTTGCTTATCCGGATAACTTGTCGGATTTAAGGTAGTCTTGGCTAAAAGAAAGGGAATGAAAATAAAGTCCATTTAGCCCAGATTACCTTAAATCCAAGGAGTTATCTGGCTAAACAAGAAATCCTCCTTCATGGAATACCCCCCTGTAACGGACTTATCACAAACAAAACGGTGATGACTTATTTTATGTGTCTCAGGACTGAGCCAATGCCTAAAAGGTGAATTAAATCCCAATTTAATTGAAAAATTACTTTCAGTTAATGTTTTGCTTCCTTTTCTAAATGAAACCATACTGGGCAGAGAAGTGAAAAAGCACAATTACTGATAAATACAAACTGGATGACTTGAAGAGGAAATAATTGCCATAAAGCATCCAAAATGATCTGAGCCAGGTTACGTTGTACGTTCTCTGTGATTGTGCTGAGCCGCGTGCATTGAAACGCATGAGCCGTGTGACTGGCATCTCCCAGCATCTCCCAGCATCTCCCAGCATCTCGCCAGGGCCTGCTTCCTCTTCTCAGTGTATCCTTTGGTGTCTTCGTTTCTACGACAGGAGCATTTCAGATGTGCAAGGTGAAATCCGTAGCTTATCTAGACGGGGGATCAGACAGATGTATTTGCCCTCTTTTACTTTTGCCCCCCCCCCCCCCCATCTTGACATTTCACAGATGGGCCATATTTTATTTTTAAAGAAGCCGCGTGATTGCAGATCGGGTGGGCTTTCCCAGTTCCTTTTCTTCCCGCATTAGAAAAGTTGGCTTCCTGTTTGAATCTCTGCAGACAAAGACAAAAAGCTGGATGTGATGAAATCAGAATGGGTGGGGTGGACTGGCCTATAAAAGCAGGAACACAAGGGGGGGGGAGTCACAGACGGGGCTGGAGACACTTGGGGGGGCATCTTACTCTTGTAAGTTCTCTCAGCGGTGCAGTAATTTTACTATGATTACTTTTAAGGCGCTGGCTAATTTATTTATTTATACTGCCAACAATGATATCAATGTCATTTGTTCATAATCCATCGGTTTTATAAATAATCTTTTATATTACTTGTACATGTTACCCAGGACATAAAAATTATTATTTTGTTGCCTTACCCCCACTGACACTGTGTTCTGCCGTCTGGTTGAAGCTGGGAGGTGGGAAGGAGCGACGGAGTGAGTGGAGTGCTGGAGGACAGGAGGCAGGAGGCATAAGCGGGCAGAGGATGGCGTGCTGTCGGGACGGAGCCGGGCCGCGGCGCTGGCTGACGCTGGGCTCGGGGCTGCTGGAGTGCCTGTGCTTTGCAGGCATCGTGTTTGGCTGGGCCTCGCTGGTCTTCCTCCTGAAGGCGGAGAGCTACTTCGGCAACCTTTGCACAAACGGGACCGCGGTCAATAGCAGCGAGAGCGCCGGTAAGTGTGCGCTTCACGTCCCCGCAGCTCCGTGTGACTGCCCCGGATCACCTGTCACCTCGTCCCCTCTCTCTCAGACTGCAGCCACCAGGACGACCAGTTATCCCTCATCTTCACCATCGCCTCCTTCCTGAACAACTTCCTCCTGCTTCCCAGCGGATTCTTCTTTGACCGCTTCGGCACTATGGCCACGAGGCTGCTTGCAGTGTGAGTCCGCTCTTGACTGTTGGAGGCCTGTTCGTGGCTGCAGACTTAGCATTTGATCTGATTATTGTGCTGAATATTGGAATGCGTCTTTCAGATACCTTTACCCTCCTGAGACCCAAACATGACAAGCATTTATCCGTGATACCTCTGCGGATGGTTTCCTCGTCGCTGTGCAGTTATAGCAATTGATGCGTTCCAGAGGCATGGTTCAAATGCGGTACGAGGTCACAAAGGCTGCCTTCGCATGCCTGTTAGGCCACATTTCAGCATCATTTCTGTCCTCAGTGGTGCTATTTGAGTGACATAACTGCATTACAAAAAGCAGTGTACACGATCTGATGGCTGGGAAAGTGATTAGATGTATGCTCAGCGGGGAAATTTGCTCTATTTTATAAAAATTGTTTTTATCTTAATACCTTTTTATTGCCTTTTTTCAGTTTAGTTTGTCTAGTTTTATGAGTTTATGAGTGAAAAGTGTTCCTGATGGACAAACTTCACCGTTTACATACGCCGCACACTTGCTCATATTAGAACTTCCATCGTTCTCAGAATGGTTTGTTAGGCTCCATTGGTTCTCCCTTAATAGTGATGAACCAGACCAGAAGCGATCTCTTTGGCAGGATGTTCTCTGGTGCAGTAGATGTTACGCACAGCCTTCTCTACCTTCTCCTAACTTGTGTGTGATACCAGCCTTTTTGCAGAGTCTAAGACGATAGATCATGTTTGTTTACAGCGAGGCAGGAGCCCCAAGATAAAAGGCAGGAACCAAAAGATGGTGATGAACGACTCGGTTCCTTGATCATCCTACCATGTGGCAGCCAGATTTCTCCGTCTTTGTTTGCTGATTTGCATAGAATAGCACCTTTCCTGTTGGTCCTGTTCAAAGTCAGGGCTGGTTGGTTTCCAAATGACCTTTACTATTACAGATGACATAGATCCTTGCGCGGCTATCTGGAATGCTGCTGGCCTTCGCGTGGCATGGCGTAAACAAGTGAGGGTCAGGTGATGTTCCGGTGACGGCTAGGCATTCTGCAGCGCATGTGTGTCTGAGCTGTCCACTTGGCTGTTGGAATAATTTACGCTGAAGGAAGAAAAAAGCAAAACAGTAGAGTGTATGTAAGGCTTGTCTTAAGTAGAATTTAAGCCTTATGTCTAAATGGAAGAACATGTGAAAGAAAGAGCTGAATAGCAGAGATATTTAGTTGAAAGGTTCATGTCAGCTAAGTCTGAAACACAGTAAATTTATCCAAACTAGATGTCCTCAGACTTGCATTCTTTTCTACAGTTTGGTTAAATACTACTTTAAAAGTCTTGCTTGTGCTCCATTGTATATTTTGATTTCTTTATGTTGAATTTGGCAACAGATTGTACAATTTGCACTCGAAGAAATTTTACTGTTGATTTCTGTGAAAGTTGTTGCTGAATAAATCAAAGAAGCGGACTTTTGTTTGAGCAACATGGCCGTTATGTTTTCATGTATTTTATGTTATACGAAAGAGTGCAGCTGTAGCACTAAATGCTGCAGTATATTTACCATGTTAAGTGAAATGCATTGATACAAATATCTCATTTAATACTTAACAATTGATAAAGGGAAAAAAATAACGAATTGGCATCAGTATCTGCAAATACTCAAGATGTTAATGTTGGGGTTGGGCTAAAAATATTATGCCATATCGAATCACTGTAATTTGCTTTATTACAGGAGGTCATTCAAGCTGTGATTTCTGGGTTACAAAGTAATATAGCCATGAGTAATATAGCTAAATTCTTCATGTGCCATGCTATACTTCACGTTTTCGCCCAGCTTGCCGCATGCCCATGTTTGGTCTAATCTTTCCGAAACGCGGTTTAATCTTTCAGGGACATGCACCATTTCGACTCTCTGATATGCTTATCTTGTGCCGCGATGACTGTCGATAATTTAGAGCAGGGACGTCTGGTGGGCCACAACAGGCTGATAGCCTTTATGGGGGCTTTTAAACTCTGAAAAAGAAATTAAAAAATAGGAATCACTAATTTTCAGTTTCTAGCAATTTTTATTTTATTTCAGTTTTGGGGTTTGTTTTAAGTTCAGTTTTTGTCTCACGCTTTTTGTTTTATTTTGATGGTTCTGTAGGGGGGTTCAGTGGTTAGTATTGTTGCCCCCCACCCCCCATGTCATCATGGGGTTTCCTGCAGTTACTCCAGTTTTCCCCTCACAGTCCAGAAACATGCTGAGGTGAATTGGAGTGACCAAAATTGTCAGTGAGTGCCCAGTCCTGTCCTTCTGGTTTGACTGGTTTTTCATTCAAAGCATTACAGCTTTTGAGGTTTATAGGTCTTCCTGCTGCGTCCAAAGCTGAAGGCCATAAATAAAACAGGAACCCTCTACAAAACAGGCAGAAGGGGTTTGATGAGCTGGACTTTCGTCTACTTCGGTTTAGACATTCCTTTGCTTTGGTTTAGCCAGATTTACAGAGTTATTTTGTGCATTGCTGTTCTTTTTTAACCCTTCATAGATTTAAAGTTATATGGGGATTTTAAATCCTAGGTAAAATGGAAGCAGATAAATAGCGATAAATTCATCATTATTAAGCAAATTTTTTATGCAATGATACTCTTGGAGTTTTTTCTAAAGAAAACTGTGCTATTAGCTGACAAGGAGCATCATTTCAGCTTTATTTATTTGACAAGTTTTACACATGAAGTTCACAGGATCAGAAAACAATTAAGTCAGGGTCAAGAGGATAATTACTCGACAAGTTTAGGGAGTCCTGAGCATTTTGCAGAGGAAGATGTTTTGAGTTCAAATATTACAGTGAAAAGGCCAATGAAGCTTCTACTTGGAACTGAATGGATATTAGGACATATTGAAGGACACAGAATTGTGAAAAAATACCAGTTTTGCAGGTGGCAGATAAGGAGAAGAATGTGAGGTCACATGATAGTGGGAGAGAGAGTGTAGACTCTTACTGTCTGAGCAGTGTAAGGGAGTGAACGGCACTGGATATGCTATAAGGCAGTGAACGGCACTGGATATGCTATAAGGCAGTGAACGGCACTGGATATGCTATAAGGAAGTGAACGGCACTGGATATGCTATAAGGCAGTGAACGACACTGGATATGCTATAAGGCAGTGAATGGCACTGGATATGCTATAAGGCAGTGAACGGCACTGGATATGCTATAAGGCAGTGAACGGCACTGGATATGCTATAAGGCAGTGAACGGCACTGGATATGCTATGACCTTGTACTGCCCAG